GCGTCTTTTGGCCTTTTTGGGCGTCTTTGGGCGATCTCTGGGCGTATAGGGGCCCTCTTGGGTCGTCTTGAAGGTTCGGGCCGAACGAAAGGGGGGGATTGGGAAAGGGGGGGGTACGAAATTTGCTGTATGCAGCTGGTTTCTGCCCCGCCGCCGGGCCCATTCCTCGATACATGCGCGCCAGGAGCCGGGAAAATCAGCTACGAGAGCTGATTCTCAAACCCCCCCTTTGCTATTCCCCCCTTTCGCCCGGCCCGAAAGGTCTCCTGAAGCCCTCTAGGCATGGCTTTGGGTCGTCTTGGGCTCGAAAAAATAATGCGGGAAGCCGCGGGGGAACCCAGGGGGCGCGCGACAAACCCCGGTAGATTTCGGAGATTAGCGTCTGGGCCCTTGAGAGACCCCTCGGGAGTGAGGGTTCCAACCGTCCTGTGTGTTGGGCCCTCGTTTTGAATTCGCAGCGCCGCGCGTCTCCTCCGTCCTTCCTTCTTCATCCCTCTTCTCCTCTTCCACCTCATCCTTGTCGTCATCATTTCCGTCGTCGCCATCATCGTTGTCGTCAGCTGCATCGCCTTCATCATCAGCATCATTAGCATTATCACTAGCATTAACCTTCTCAGTACCATCCTTGCCATCATCCTCATCAGCACCAGCACCAGCACCAGTATCAGCATCATCATCATCATCAGCATCATCATCATAATCAGCATCATCATCATCATCAGCAGCAGCAGCAGCAGCAGCATCATCATCATCATCATCTGCATCATCTGCATCATCGTCACCATCGTCATCCATCACCATCATAATCAACCTGGCGAAGATATTCAGAAACCCCTCCCCCTTGGGTGAAACGATTACGCAGCCAGCACCCTGAAGCGTTAGCCCGGCACTTGGCACCCACTGGCCCTTGGAGCCATTTGTCACGTGGTCCTGTAAGGACACCGTTCGGGCGCAGCGGCGCCAAGCGAGCGAAGCCACTGGGGCTTTCACGAGACTTCCGATGGGGCGACGAAGCGTGCAAGCGACGTGCCGAAATAGAAAATCACAAAGCAGCTCGCCGCTCAGGCCCCGCCACCGGCCAAAACGGCGAGCACAGATCTAGCGAGGCCCCGCGCACATTCTGATGTTCAAGCAGTCTGGGCCCCGTCGGTGTGCTCGCCGTCGCCTGAGGCATCGCCGCGGTGGCGGGCCCTCCCCCCCTAAAAAAAACCCTTTACCTCCCCTACTTCCCCCCTTGCCTCTACCCCCCTCTGGTCAGGGAGGGGTAAAGAGGAAGGGAGTCGACTTGACTACGACGTTGCTTCTTCCTGCTCCTTCCTCATTTTCCTGGACTGGCGACGACGACGAAGAAGAAGAAGACGAAGACAGCGTCTCACACACGACGAAGGGCCGGCGGACTTTTGGACTCGTCATCTGTCAGAACACGGGAGATCCCCACTCCGAGGCCCCCCCAGCGGGACTTCCCGTGTACGATCTAGTCCCCGTTCCCTTTAGAGGCCGCCCGGAGCTTCGGCGAAGCCACCACGAGGCTCCCAAAACGGCACCAGAGACTCCAGTTGGGCTTCAGATACCTGCAAGAAGCCCAAGACGGCATCACTACGGCCCCAGATTCGGCGGTCAAAATTGGGGACGTGAGGGATGGGGTCCTAAGGACGAGGTGCTTCAAGCATCGCAAATCCACCCTTGGATCCCTTCCTATCCTTTGGGGCCCCATCCCTCAGGACCCCATCTTTGAACCACAGACCGATGCCCCCATAACACCCCAAGAGGACACAGAGAGGGCTCCTCCCTAGGCACTATTTCATGTCATGTTGGTTTTCCCATGTTTGTTGCGCTCTCGCTGTTTCGGCCTCCCGACCACCCAAAACGACCCGAAAGGTCTCCCGAGTCGCCCCGAGACGGCCCAAAACGCCCACCAGATGGCCCCAAGACGGCCCAAGAAGACCTTGAGAGGGCGTCCAAAATACCCCAAGACGGCCCCACGGTTCCCCCAGACAGTCCAAGAGGGCCCCAAGACGGCCAATATGGCCCCAGGGACCCAGAAACCCCCAAGAGGACTCCGTGAGGAAGCCCAAGGGAATTCAAGAGGCGAAACAATATGATTGCCCTTCGGACATCAATGTTTGGTGAACGAACACATGCAGACATGTATGTTCCCTCCTTTCTCCCTCTACTTCTCTATCCAGTCACCCGCCGTGATGAACAGCAACAATGCACAGGCGCGCGAAGCCAAAAATCACCTGGCGCAAGATGGGGTCGGTGGCATGGTGCCCTCCAGAGCCATCGGCGCCGTAAATTCCTCCCGCACATCACAGGATCGGAAAACAGCCATCATATCATAGCAATCTCCTTGGAAGCTCGACGAGCAAAAAAGGCACCCGCGTTGATGTGGGGAGCTGTCGCCTGCAATTGCACGTTGGATGGCGCTTGCGTGGGAAGTCTGGAGTGCCGACAGACTTACGCAGGAGGGGCGGGTCCAGGCGTCTTCAGGCTGCTTCGCTGCGCCACGAGGAGGAGAAGAGGAGGAGGAGCAGGAGGAGGAGGAGGAGGGGGGAGGAGGAGGAGAAAACGAGAAGAGGAGGAGGAAGAGGGAGGAGGGAGAAGGAGGAGGAGGAGGACGAGGACGAGGAGGAGGAGGAGGAGGAGGAGGAGGAGGAGGAGGAGGAGAGGCAGCAGACGGTCCCCATCGACACGACCACGCACCTGGTAGGGGGAAAGGGCCGCGAAGGCCCTCCTCGCGGCCCAGGAGCGCTTCGACGCGATGCTGGAACAGGACGGCGCCGAGAACGAGCAGGAACTGAGGGACCTCGACGCTCAGCACCGGCAGGAGATGGAGGACAGTGGCGGGCGTGGGTCGCCCCCCTCCATTCCTCCTCTCCCCTCCCTTGTCCACCTGCTCAGGCCTTGCTCACTGGGGGGCCTGTGATTGCTGGTCACACGGTGTCGGCATTGTGTCTGCTTGCCTGCAGCCTGTGCTCCAGCCGGGGCCCAGCGAACGATGATCCGCTGGCGTGCAGATCAGCACACCTGTCGCAGGCGCGCGCCCGAAGAAATATATAGCACCCCGCAATTGCGGATAAGAGTGAGGGGGCGGGCGCGGGCGACGCGGGCGTCGTCAAGCCGGCGGACCTCGTGGCCCCCACCTACCCTGTCGATGGCGCTCTCCTCCTCCTCCTCCTCCTCCTCTTCCTCGTCCTCGTCCTCGTCCTCATCGTCATCGTCGTCCTGCTCCTCCACCTCGTCCTCCTCCTCCTCTTCTTCCTCGTCCTCCCTCTCCCCCCCTCGTCCTTCCATCATCGTCATCCCATTGTCGTCATGTTCCTCCTCGTCGTCCTCCTCCTCTTCCCCCCCTCCCGATCCTCCTCCCTTCCTCCTTTTCGTCGTCGTCGCCGTCGTCGTCGTCGTCGACGTCGTGGTCGTCGTAGTCCCCTGACTCCTCCTCCTCCTCCTCCTCCTCCTCCTCTTCCTCCTCCTCTTCCTCCTCCTCCTCGTCCTTCTGCAAAAGCAGCCCGCCGCAGGCGCCGAAAGATTTGGTTTGTACACCGAACGTGGTTTGGGTCGCGGGTGGGCCGCGGGTTCTCCACCGGGAACGAATGCAAAAGATGCCCGCCGCAGGCGCCGAAAAATTTGGTCTGCACCCTGAACGTTGTCGCGGGTGGGTCGCGGTCTCTCCACCTAGAACGAATGCAAAAGATGCCCGCCGCAGGCGCCGAAAAATGTGGTTTTTACCTTGAACGTGGTTTGGGTCGCGGGTTGGTCGCGAGTTGGTCGCGGGGTGTGTCGCGGGCTCTCCACCTGGAAGGAATGCAAAAAAAACCCGCCGCAGGCGCCGAAAATGTTGGTTTGTACCTTGAACGTGGTTTGGGTCGAAGGTGGGTCGCGGGGTGGGTCGCGGGTGGGTCGCGGGTGGGTCGCGGTGGGTCCGCGGGTGGGTCTCGGTGGGTCGCGGGTGGTCGCGGGGTGGGGTCGCGGGTGGGTCGCGTTGGGTTCGCCGGTCGGGTCGCGGTGGTCGTGGGGTGGGTCGCGGTGGGTCTCGGGTGGGTCGCGGGTGGGGTCGCGGGGTGGGTCGCGGGGGTGGGTGCGGTCCGGTGGGTCGCAGGTGGGTCGCGGGTGGGTCGCGGGTGGTCGCGGTCCGGGTCGCCGGTGGGTCGCGGTGGCGGGTGGGACGACGACAACAAACAACAACAACAACAAACAACAACAACACGAATCCGCACCGCGGAGTCCCACTTCAGCCACGCACCCAGGGACAGTGAATGACCGTTCGGCCCCCTCACTCTGACGAATATGGGAAACGAAGTGGCGATGGAGGAGAGGAGGCCGCCACCCTCTGTCCTCTCTGGTCTTGGCACGGCCAGTGGGGGGCACACGGCTCATGTGTTGACGTTCGAAAGGGCGAGTGAGCGGAAATGATGAAGGATGAGGGTGGCTGAGGCGGGATGATGAGAGAGATGAGGACAAGGAGGATGACAAGGCGGAGGGGGAGGAGGCGGATGATGATGATGATGATGATGATGATGATGATGATGATGATGATGATGATGATGATGATGATGATGATGATGATGATGATGATGATGATGATGATGATGATGATGATGATGATGATGATGATGATGATGATGATGATGATGATGATGATGATGATGATGATGATGATGATGATGATGATGATGATGATGATGATGATGATGATGATTAGGAGGAGGCAAATCACACCAAACATTGTATACAAGATTTCCGAGGTCCGCGCGGATCCATTGGGTCGGCGTTGGATCCCCTTGGCGGCGCCTCGGGTCGGGGGGAGAGGGAGAGAAAGAGGGAGAGATAGAGAGAAAGGGAGAGAGAAAGAGAGAGAGAGAGAGAAAAGCATATAATATGAGAGAGAGAGAGAGAGAGAGAGAGAGAGGGAGAGAGAGACAGACAGAGACAGGGATAGAGAGAAAAAGAGAGAGAGAGAGAGAGCGAGAGAGAGAGAGAAAGAGAGAGAGAGCGGGAGAGCACAAGACAACGGCCTTGCTGAAATAGTGGCCTCTGTGTTTCACGGCTGCTTTCAGCTGCATTGCCTCTGCTGCTTTCGAACGTGTCGATGCTCTCTCCTCTCGTCCTGGTCACAGAGACGCCGCTGTTTGGCCCAAAAGCTGTTTCCAGCACGCAATTGCCAGCATGGTGTAGCCGTACAGCCGCGCGTAGCGACCGATACCTTCCTGAGTTATGGCAGCATCGGCGGCAGCGGCTAGCCGGGGTGCGCTGATGCGGGCTGGGCTTACTCGGCGGTGCGGAGGGGTGGTGAAAAGGAGCATGCTGTGTCCTCGTCTTGCTGTCGTTCAGGTTGGATACGTCAGACATACGGATATTACACCTGAGAAACCACAATCAGTGGATGATTTGAAAATTGATGCTATGGATCTTGAGATCGATTGTGAGATCGATAGTGAGATCGATAGTAGAATCGATAGTGAGGACGACTGTAAGGTCGATCGTGAGACCGAGAGTGAAATCGATTCAATGAGATCGATTGTGAGATCGATCGCGAGATCGCTCATGCGATCTCTAGTGAGATCGCTTGTGAGATTGATAGTGAGATCGATTGTGAGATCGATGGTGACTTCGATCGAGAAGACGGTAATGGGATCGATGGTGAGACCGATCGATAAGAAGATCGACCAGGAACCCGGGAACCCGGGAACCTCGCCGCCCTCCGAAATCGGCCCAGAATTCGGAACCGGGAACCCGGGAACGCAGAACCGGGAACCCGGGAACCCGGGAACCCAGCCTGCCACCAAAATTGGCGGGGATTTTTTTGCCAAATCCTTCAACTTCCGCTAGGACCCCTTTCATTGCAAGCACTGATTGGGGAACAGCATCGTTTTTCGGAAACCGGTGCGGATTTCTCGGATCGGCGCTTCGCCCCTCTCTCTGACTCTGCCGCCGCTTCAGCGCCGCCCACGGCTCGCTGCGCGGGGAAGGGAACTGCGGAGGGAGGTCCAGCGCCGATCCAAGAAATTCGCGCGGACCTCCGATAGTTTACGCTTGTGCAGGTTTCCCAACTCAAACCCTCCTGAGCTGTTGGGTCCTCGTTTGGAATCCGCAGCGCCGCGCTCCGCCTCACCTCCATTCCTCCTCTTCCTTCTCTTCCCCCTCTTCCTCCTCTTCCTCCTTGCCCTGTGGCTCCAGCACCTGCAGGAATCGCGGGCCCCTCGAGTGCACGTGCGGACTCTCCTCCTCCCCCCTCTGCCCTCCCCGCGGCGGGCGGCGGCCATGGTCACGCAGGCGCGGCTGCAATGGGCCTTGATTCAACTGGGTGCAGGCCGCCGCGCGCACTTGGCCACTATCACCTACCACGGCCAGGTTATCCTCAAGACCACCATCTTCCGCGAGATGGTGGCCATGATGGAGAATGGCTTCGCGGTCGCCTGGATCTCTGCGGTGCTCCAGGACCTAGCGTCGGCGGCGGCCGTGGACCATCGGCACAAGGCTTCCGACGGCTCGAGCTTCATCGCGGTGATGCTCAAGCCGATTCCTGGTCTTCCCGTCGCTCCCGCTGAAGATGATGATGAGGATGAGGATCGCACTAGCGTTGGTGTCCGCGGCCACAATGGTGATTCTCTTGGTGATTCGCACGGTGGCGCTCGCGATCGCGGTGATCGCGGGCACTCTGCTGCTGGTGACCGTGGTTCTCGCCGTGGGCCTGATCCACGGGCGTCTGGTTCTGGCGACCTCTGATCTGGTGGCCCTGTGCCCAAGGTGCCACGACGGAGCGTGGCATCACCTGGTCTTCCTGGCGCTGCGTGTGCCCAAGACGTTCGACCTGCGATGCCGAGGGTCATTCTCAACTCGGACGCGACGGCTTACATCCCGATCGACCTGCAGGTCCATGGTACTCTTGACGGTAATCTTTCGGTGCATTCCGTGGCGCGGATTTTCACCGTGGTTTGGACGACTTTGCCGTCAAATGCACGGTGAACTTAATATTGGACATGCTGGTGAGGGTCTCTCAGTGCTGCAGAGTTTCACGGGCGAGCCGATCTGGGATCCTCATGATGATCGAGCTGGGCCGCGACCCGAAACTATTCATCGTCCCTGGCCGAACGAGGATGGTGCTGAGATTGTTGCTGCTCTTTTGGGCCGACGAGGGGGGTCGCAATCTCATTCCCCTCAGGAATAAATGTGTGCTTCTCTTCTTGGCCTCTTCACGGGTCGGCCTTTCACCACGTTCTCTCGGCTCTCTGTAGTGTTGTTGACGGTCACCTTCAAGCTGGCCGTGGCGAGATGGCTCATCAGGTCCTGGAGCATATATGTTGCGAAGCTCATGTGTTCCTCCCTCGTCTCACCCCCCCCACAGGTGGTTCGCGAGATGGTTTGGCATGCTGCACCCCCATCCAGATCATGAGGATGAGACAATTTGGAGTCTATGCCAGCATTACGGATGGCCGCTGGATCTCTTCGTCTGGAGGTTCGGCACTATTCCTGAGGGCGAGTTTATCGGCCGCACGGGAAACATTGAAGCATTGGTTGGCAACCTTCGTCCTCGTGCACGCTTCGTTTCTGAGGTGGTTATGACTCCGTCGTACCATGCCGCCCTTGGTCTGCTTACCTTGGGATAGGCTGTGGTGTGCTGGGCAGGCCACTCACATGTGCTACCCGTTCATGGCGGGTCTCGCCCTCCCAGGCCCCCCGTCGACGGTGGATCGGCGGGCTCCCCCCCCCGAGGAATCCACCTCGCTGTATAAACTTCCTCCATGCCATGCCTGAGGCTTCTTGCCGCCCCCGGAGCAGGCATGACGCCCTTTGTCCGCCAAGGGAGGGTACGCAGCAGCCTTCGTGCGACACAGCCCAGGGCGACAGCAGGCTGGATCACATAGACGAACTCCCCTTTCTTCGCCTCCTCCTCCTCCTCCTCCTCCTCCTCCCTCGCGTTCGCGCGCCAAATTCTGCCCCCCTTCACACGTGTGGCGCCCCCGTAGGGAGCTCCACCCATCGCCGCAGCGCCAACTTTGGCGCACCCCCAGCACGGATCGTGCCCCATGGGGACCTCCGCCCATGCCCATAGTCGAGGAACTCGCATGGTGCCACCGCGCCGATTTTGGCACACCCCTCACGTGGATCGTGCCGAGGGGGCTCTCATGTCTTCAGTATCGGGAGGGTAGGTGTCAGGACGGGATGTCTTTTCAGAGGAAAGGGGGCGGCACGGCGGACAGGCGACACACAAAGAGAGTCACGCGCACACGTAAGCCAAGTAGGTTAAGCACTGGGAGGACGAGAGAGGGGCAAAATCGAGGGGATGACGAGGCGACGGGGGACAGCGGGCCAAACTTCAGCGTGCTTAGCCCCACCCGTGCCAGGGCGCCATGCAGGGAGGGATCTGGCCTTGTCGAACCCCAGGTGCACGGGTCGGGACACGGCGGGCTGGTCCTCGGCCTCCTCCCTCTTCTTCCCCTGTTCCCCGGGTTTTTCGACCTTCTTCCTCTTCCCTCTGCCTCCTCTGGGCTCCTCCGCACTCTTTCCTTCAGCCACGCCTCCTGCCTCCTCCTTTCCTTCCTCGTCTTCCTTCTCCTCTGCGTCCTCTTCCTCTTCTACCTTAGCTAAGCTCCTTCCCTTAGTCAGTTCAGGGGGGAGACCCCGATCAGCAGGCTTCTTCTGAAAGGTCCTGGCACGAGGCCCCCCGGGAGCGGGAGAGTAGCGACACGTGAGAGCTCTCTCACTGATGTGGCCACCCTTGTCCACCAGGCACAAGGTGACACGACAAGGTATGTCGTGCAAAGCAAGGTTTCCCTTTCAGGTGTCGGCGTGGGTCATCAGGTCGGCTGGCATTCTCCCGTGAGGGAGCAGGAGGAGGAGGAGGAGGAGGAGGAGGAGGAGGAGGAGGAGGAGGAGGAGGAGGAGGAGAGGAGAGGAGGAGAAGGAGGAGGAGGAGGAGGAGAATGAAGAGGAGGAGGAAGAGAAGGAGGAGGAGGAGGAGAAGGAGGATAAGATGGAGAAGGATAGGATCGGGAGGAGGAGGAGGAAGAAGAGCCAGCGGACAGTGGAACCAATTCCCGAAAGACTATCTCTCCTTGTCGCTAGCTCCACGGAGTTCTGCCAGTCCGCCCTGGAACCGGCCGTGTGTCGTGACAAAGTGTCGTGCACGCTCTTGGCTTCCACCACCGAAATCACGCCAGCTCGAGGGAGGAGGAGGAGGAGGAGGAGGAGGAGGAGGAGGAGGAGAAGGAGGAGGAGGAAAACACGCCTCGCCGACGGAGCAAACTCGAGACAAAGTCACGGCACACGGCGAGGCGATGGAGTAGCAATTTGGGCGAGGCACGTCGCCATGGACGGCATCGCGCCGTAGCATCTGAAGCCATTGTGCCTCAGCGACAGCACCACTCAGACTCAAAGTTTCGGCCGCGACAGTCGAAACAACCACAAACCCGTTCCAAACGTTGGGACTGCTAGGAAAGGAGGGACACCCGGGACCGAACGTTGTTCCGAATCTTGGCGTCCGAGGCCATCACCAATCAGGCCCCTTGGGCCCCTTCACGCTTCGCGCGCCCTGGACCTCCTGCATCAGAGGCGGTGACGAAGAGAAAGATACTGGTCAAGGCTCCGCACGGTGAGGCGCTGAACCGCCGTCGCCTCAAGGTATCTGCATATCGTGATCAGCATTACACCATTGGCGATCGTGAGATGGGGCACGGTGGACGCGAGCAACGAGGCAACTTCTGCCACGTTTGGGCGGGACTCTCTCGCAACCAAGTGAGCCTGGGCTAGCAGAGCCCGATAGGAACTCGTCTCAGCAGCAGACAGGGTTCACCGGCTGTTCTTTCCTAAACTTTTTCCAGGTGAAGACACGAACGCTGCTCGCGGATGTATTTTCTTGATCGATGCTTATCCGATCAGAGTATTGCCTAAGTGACGGCTGCCGTAATCAGCCTCTGGCCCCTTCCACTTACCACAGTACAATCTCGAGGTGAGGCGCTCTCGAAACGAAGGGATGACATCTTCGCGCCCCGCGACCACCTGGTCATCCACCTCTATCAGGACGAGCCCCTCGATAGCCCTGAACTTATCGCGCTTGAGCCAGAGGCAGGGCTCCAAAAATGATTTCACGAATCCGAGAGGCGAGATAGTCGGCCAACGTCCTGTGCCAGAGCAGCGGGGCATTATGGAGGCCATGCGCGGAAGCCACCAGCTCTATGACCTGGTCGGAGCCGAGCGGTAAAAACCCTGACACGGCTTGACGTAGATGGCACCATTCGTTCGCCTCAGGCTCTCGCTTCGGCAGAATGCGTTTTTT